GTGGGGAATGGCTCGGAGAAGGGCAGACATGCGGGGGTGGGACAGGAAGGGAGCTGGAAGGTGGGCTCCCAGGAATAGGCTGCTTGGGAGAAACTTCAACGCACACGATTTTCTTCTCTTGTGGCTGGAAAGCAAAGACGATCTGCATCCAAAACACCATTTTGCTATTACTACCCTGACCAGAGCCAGACCCGCTCCCAGCAGACCCAACCTTTTCCCTTCTCTCCTCCTGTGCACACACTCATGTCTTGATGTCTCTTCAAAAAAATGTGTTCTGGCTGGGTTGGAAAGGGGAGATTTTTTTATTATTATATATATATATCAAGTTTTAAATTATTGCTAGAAGTTCGTCTGGATTTACCAAAACAAGTCTGCTCTGTGTGGCCCCAACGAGTCCCCTCTGTGTCCCCCTCGGATCGCGGGGCAGCCGCTCAGGAAGCTCGGAGGAGCGAGGTTCCCCAGTGGGGGACCGAAGCCACAGCGTGTGACGATGCTGCGGAGCCTCTGATCTCCATGACCCGGCTGGCGTCTCCCATTCCCTGCGGCGGTGCCTCTTCAGCGCCGGCCTCTGCCACAGGAGCATCGCCCTGGTCGTCCTCCCGCTCCCTTCTCCCCAGCGTCTTCACCTTCCCGAGGGTCTGGCTCTCTCTCTGTCCACCTCTCCCTTCTGTCACGGACAATTTGGAAGTCAACCAAAGGACCTTTGCCGAGGATAGGCTTGTTGTGACTCCTTCCTGCGAGGATGGCTGGTTGGGAGGCTGGCAGGCACCTGGACTCGAGCCTGTGTGGACGGTGCACCCGCTGCCCCAGGAATGCCCATCGCTTGCAAAGACAGGACTTTGCTGAAGGAGCTTTTCTCTTCCTTATCCCTTGGAAAAAATGACATCACAAAAAAAAAAAAAAAAAAACCCACCCACAAACCCCTCTAAAACAACAACAGAAAAACTCTTTAAAAAAGGACACATCTCCCTTTGCTTTCTTCCTTGGAAATATTACTGAAGAAAAAAAAAAGACAAAAAAACAAACAAAAAACCCCAAAAACACACAAAAAAAAAGTTGCCTTATGGTGGAGCTGGACCGGGGAGGCTCGTTGGCTTCCTGCACCCTGGGGTGCACTGGGCTCTTGGCTCCCCCCAGGCCCAGAGACTCCTCACGGCATTGCTGCCGAGCTGATCTTCCCTGCGGCCTTTCCTCTGCCCCCGCAGCTCGCTCGGATGCCTCCCCCATCACGGAGCCTCCCTGCCAGGCCCGAGTCTCCTGGGGCAGGAGCTGAGGGAAGTCACATCCAAGACTCGTGCCCACCTGTGTTGGTACCGTGGCAGCCTTGTCCCCACCACAGTGACTGTTCTGTCATGGCCTTGCTCGCACCGCCAGCCCTCCCTGGGCAGGAGGTGCCTCTGCTCCTGCCTGTGCTTCCAGCGTGGTTGGGGAGTGAGCAGGGAGATTGTCACAGCAGCTGGGGCACTGGTCCTGGCTGTGAGCGAGGGCTGCTTCTGCTGTAGCCTGACAGGGAGTGAGGCAGTCCTGGGAAAGCTGCCCCACGGCAGTCCCTGGCTCGGGGCTGCTGGTGGGACTTGTGCAGGGGTGAGCAGGAGACCTGCCTGGCACAGGAGAGCTCTCACCTGGGTTTCCTTGTGTGTTGTGTTGTGGCAGGCACCTGCATGGAGTCTCCCACTCAGGGCACAGCCCCTGTGCATTTCCAAGGGCTGAGATGATACCGTGTAGCTCCTTACTCAGCTGAGGCAGGGGGTGACTGCAGAGCTGCTGTGGCACTTACTCGATTCATCCTTACATCCAGCACCAGGTGGACTTGGGCTGCCAAACCCTCCCCAGGCTGTGAGCTGGACCCTTTGTGAGGTGTGTGTGTCAGGCATGAGATCTCGGATGTCCAGTGCTACTTCTGGAGATGCTCCAGAGGTAGCACTGGAAAGTTGTGTTCCTTTCCAGCCAGACCCTCTTGCCTTGCTGTCACCCTGCTCCTTCTGCTGGGTCCCTGGGATACCAGGCTTGGCTGTGGCTCAGGCTCCATCCCGGTGAGTTCTGGAGCTGTGCTCTTGTGTGCAGTGTGGATGCACCACTCCAAGGGTGCAGCTCGTTGTGTTGCCCTTTCTGCAAAGTCACGAGCTGGTACTGAGCAGTTTTCCCAAGGGATCCAGTTGATCCAGAGCTGTGTCTCTTAGCTGGGAGCAGTCATCATCTCTCCAGGGCTGTCCCTGTGTGGCTGCAGGGCGGGTGAGTGAGAGCAGCCAGCTGAGCAGGAGCAAGAGGGGAAGCACAGCCAAGCTGTCCATCAGCAGTGGCTGTGGGTGCTTGTGGGGCCCTGGCTGAGCCCATCACTTCCCAAGGTGACAGTGCCTCCAGGATGCTGCCCTGTGGGGGCAGGTGGGCTGGTCTGGGTGGAGTGGCTTCACAAACTGCTGCTAGAATTGAAAGCACAGCTGGGTCTGAGAGGCTGGGGAGCTGCTGCTTGGCTGTTTCCTGGTGGTGTGATCCTGCCCTGGTCCATCCACCCCTGCCATGCCACCGTGCAGCTGGTACCACTCACAGGCCTGATTGCAGCAGGCGAGCCCATCCAAGGCTGTGGATCTCCATTATGGCAGCAGTGCTCTGGGGTCGTGGGGTGGGAACTGGGCAAGGTGGGCAAAAGTAACACTTGTACAGTGCTGTGGCCGTGACTGTTATCTCTGGATTTCCCCTCTTGTGAGCTGGAGTCAGATCTCTGAGGTTATATTTATAGGCAGGTTTGTCCCAGATTTGGGGAGGAGGAGGCTGCAGAGTCGATCAAGGACATTGTAGATGTGTTGCTGGTTGTTGGTAAGTGGAGGCAGGTCTGGATGTGCCACAGGTGATCCTTGCTGCTGTGTCTGTGCTCCTTTCGTTGGCGTGTGTCCATGGCTCTCTTGAAGCCAATTGTCTGCATTTCAGCAACAAATTCATAGGAAATGGGAAGGGATGAGCTGCTGCTATGGAGTTGTTGCTTGTAGAGCAGACTGTGGAATTGCTCGGGTTGTAGAAGAGGTAGGACATTTTCCAGAAAATTTCCCAAAATACTGATTTTAAATAATTTTTAATTTCTGATCCTGAGGCTCTAGTCTTGGCATGGAAGTGTTTTCCCTTCCCCCTCTGCCAAGTTAGTGGTTTGTCACACTGGTGTGTGCACCCAGGGCAAGAAGGTGGGTCAGAAGAGCAATCCCAGTGGTCCCAGTGCCCTCCAGGTTTGTGGACCGTGTGCCTTGTTTTGCTGTCCATGGGACAGCAGTGGGCAGGACAGAGCAGAGATGGATGTGGCAGCCCGAGGCAGCCACTGCTGGCTCACACCTGTCTTCCTGCAGGGAAGGGAGCACAGGACCATTCCCTCCTGCTCCGTGCCAGGGTGGTGCTGGCAGAGGGCAGGGAGCTCCCCGGGTGCGTGGTCTGTGCCCAGCTGGGTCACGAGTGGCTGCAGCAAGGCTCCCACTGGGTAAAGGGACAGCTCTCCAGAGGGGCTTTGGGTTTGAGGAAGCTCTTGCCCTTCTGTGAGGAGGGAGTTAGGCCTTGCTTTTAGTTTGAATGCCTCAGCTCCACCATGTGTAGTGCTTTTTTGAATTTTAGAGGACTGAGTGGTTGCACACGTGCTCCTGTGAGTGCTGATTGTCCCACAGCCCACGAGAGCTGCATGGTGCTGGTGTCCAGCCACTGGCAGAGCCTGGGGGGAGCCCCAGCTGCTTCTGGAAAGGCTGAGGGAGGCTGAGTCAGGGGAGCATTCCTCATCCTGCCCCTCTTCTCAGGAGGTCCTCCTTGCCGAGGTTAACTTGTTTAGAGTGCAAGTGGCTGCAACAGGTACAGAGCTGTGGTGTGGGGTCAGAGTGGAGGTAGAAGGTGTGGTTTTGAGGAGGCTTTGTTGCTTTGCTGTGCTCATTTGGGGGAAAAAAAAATTAAAAAGTAATGCTGCTGCTCTGGTTTTTCCCTGTCCATCTCTTCTGCTGCCCCCTGGCACCTCTGATGGCACCTTCTCACTGTAGCCCATGGAGTCCCTGAGTTTTGGCACCTGCTGGGGACTGATTGTTGTACTGTAACAAACTGATGTGTTTAACCTCAGTGTCCTGCCATGTTCCACGTGGCAGTGCAGAGGGGGCCTTCTAGCTGTTAATGCCTTCCCAGTTATTTTATCAAAAGGAACAAAAAAAAAAAAAAAAAGAAAAAAGGAAAACTGTAAATGTAGCAAGCTGTGTTTGCAATGCTTATTGTCTCCTGTCTCTGAGGCTGGTTATGTCACTTGTCACTGTTTGAAATGGATGCTGGGCTCTTCGTGAGAGGGTTGTTACATTTGATGTTAAATGCCTCACTGACTTTTTAAAAATATTCCAATACAGGTAACAGATAAAAGAGTTTCTTTCATTTTTCTTTTTCTAAGCAAATGTTCATCTCGGTGGCGTGGAGCGGGTGGCTGGAGGGCAGCATTTCCAGGAGTAGTTTACAGTTTCACTTTCTGCAGACACTTGAACATAGGACCGATGTATCTGTGACAAGCACATCCCCTTGGTGGGAAGCTGCAGAGGAGCAGGGGGTGCCCTGGGTGCCAGCTGGCCCCCGTGGAGCATGCTGGGGTCCCTCCAGCTCCCCACGCTGTCCTCCTGCTCTCTCCCCAGGTGGCAGCCCTGCACCGGGGTGGCTTGTGCCAGTGGTGCTCCTCGTGGGAGGGAGTGCTTGGCACCACTTGGTCCCTCAAGCCTCCCTGGTGCAGCCCTGCTCCCCATCTTCCCCCCCAGCCTGTCCTGGTCCCACTGGGCTTGGAAACCTTGGATTTGTGGCTCAGAGACGCCCACTGAGCTGCGTCCCAGCGAGTGCAGCCTTCTGCTCGCTCGCCTGGAGCTGAAGGGGTGATGGTTCGATGTGCTGGCCCTTCTCAAACCCTGTGTGTCCAACCTCAGCCTTCTGTTTCCCAAAACTAGAGTGTGTGCAACCTTCTTCAGCTGCATTTATAGTAGAGACAAACTTAAAATGACTCATCACAGACCATGTATCACTTGGGAGGAAAATCTTGTTAATACGGCCTGCTGTACATGATCCATCTCTGTCGATAGTACATAATCTTTGACCCATGTGCTAGGATCATCATCACGTATAAAAGGAAAAGAGAAAAATGTAAAATACTTGAATGAGAGCTTGTATTATAACATTAATATTATTCAGAGTATCTGCTTTCTAGGCTGATGTGATTCATTATTCTAGTAATGCTTTAGTCCTTTGTAATTTGTGGTAATTATGCTTTTTCCTTTTTAATACAAAAAAAATGTATAAAAATAAAAAGTTCAAAAGACAGTGGTGCCTGGGTTTTCTGTTCTGCTGACTTGCCCTCCCCAGGGAACTGCCCAGGTAACTGGGCTGGGTTCATCCTGGTGCAGTTGTGGGCACTGGAGAGGAGCAGGGGAAGTGCCTTTGGTTCCACAGGTAGATCTGGGCTGACCCATGGTCAGTGCAGCACAGGTCAGCCCTGTGTGCCTGTTCCTCGAGGGGCTGCTCTAGCACTGGGGAGAAATGTGGTGTTTTTGTTGCAGGCCTCCCAGGCAGGACTGAGACGTAGGAAGATCCTTGAGAGAATTCACAGTATGTCTTGGATGGTCTGTGGGTACGTGGCAATGTGCATATTGTTCTGGGGGCTGCTTTCTTGGCTCCTTTCTTAGAGGGGTTCCTTAATCTCCACACAGCTCAGGACAGCAGGGACTCTGCTCTCCTTGGAAAATCTCTGGAATTTATCAGAATTTTGGTTGTGCCTCAGAGCAAGGGGAGGCTCAGCAGGAGGAGGAGATGAAGCACATCAGCTCCCAGCTCTCCTTCCATGTCCCCACAAGGGGTAACTCCCTTTGTGTGCAGCTGTCTGTGGAGCAGTGATGAGGCTGTGGCAGCCCCACTTCAGCCCTGTACTCACCTCCTGTGCATGACAGCTGCTCACAGGAAGCCAGGCCTTGTTGCATGTGAAGGGAGTGTTTCTAAAGCTGTGGCCCCAGTGATTTTCCACGGGGTTGTGTCCTGTGTTCCAGGTGCTCTGAGTCACAAAAGCGTGTGTTAATTGTATCACACAGAGATGGAGTGACTTTGATGTTTCTGTAGAGTGAGTGCTGACAAGAGATGCCAAATAATCACCTGTGGAGTCTGGTGCTAAAACCTTAATAATGAGAACCCTGAGCCATGTGGCCCAGAACACACTGGGCTCATACACAGGCAGCTGGAACCAAGAGACAGGGCAAGTAACAGATAAACCATTAAATTTTAAAAACATTTCTAGAGCAGTTTTTTTAATAAGTGTCTTATATAGTAAACAATGGCAACAAAAGTGCAGTAGTTTCAAAGCAGCATATTTAACTTCAGCTTCATGATCTGTGTGGACAAGAATTTGTTTCCTGATTAAAATACTATTTGGCATAAATCATTGTCTCTCACTCTGCTCATCACCAGGCTGGGCAAGAGCTGCTGAGCTGGTTCACTCCTCTTTTTTGGGTGGATCTGGGATGCTTTCAGAGAGTGGTGTGAGGCTGAGCAGGACCTTGTGTCTCTCGAAGGCTTTGGTCTGTCTGAACATTTTGTCCGTGCCATGCAGGAAATCCAGCACTCCCAGCACTCCGTAGCACTGGTTGAACCTGAGAACCAAACACAGATAAACATCACTGGAAATTACTGAGGTTACCTTGCCCTTTCTCTTTCCATTCCTTTCTCAGCCCTGATAATCTGTCCATGGGATTTCTGCCCCTGCAGTCTCCCTGGCAGCTCTGTCGAAGCCTGGGCGAACCTTGTGCAGCTTCTCTCTGGTGCCATCATTGCCCAGAAATGGTGGCACTTCCCCTGGGCAACTCAGACCTGTGGGAGCATTGGACACCCACGTTACCAGCCCCACATGCTCTCTAGACTTGGCTGTCCTGGGGTATGGAGCAGATGTGCTTCCAGCTGGCACAGCTGTTCCACCCAGAGTGTCTCCACTCTGCAGCGATCCCTGTCCTGGCATGTGGTGACTGAACTGTGCCCTGGGCTGGTTCTGCAGCAGGGCAGACATTTCTGGGCAGCATGTCTGAATGTGGGGCACACTGGGAGATGGGAATGTTTCTCCACTGCTCGGGTATGTATCCTTGAACAGTCTGCTGCAACTGCTATCTCTCCAGCACAGGAGGCTGAGAATCTCTGTCAGGAAGGGTTCATGGTGATTGAGCAAAGTGTAATCTGATCAGTGTTACTGATCCCAGTGTATGGGAGAGGGACAGACAGAGAGGCTCGCTTATTTTACCTGTGTGACTTGCCCTGGCTCTGTCCTTAGATCACATGAAGTGTATTCTGAACTTCTAGGAAGAACCTTGCAGAGAACTGTCCTTAACAGGGCTGGAATGCCTTGAAATCCCAGTTTAACTGCTCTAAGAACTGGCAGCACTCAGCCTGCTCTCAGGTGAACTGGAGAGCTGCTCTGCTGGTGCATGAATTAGGCAGACCCTCTTGACCCTCAGAAAGGAGCTTTCCTTGCCAGTGGTGCCAGTGGAGAGGCAGGAGAAAGGAAAGCTGAGCAGTGCCCAGACATACTTGAGGTGGTGGAAGTCGTGGAACTCTGGAGATGGCAGGAGGGGCAGGTGGTAGCCACAGTGAGAAATGCTCGTTGTTACAAGAGCAATGGAGAACCATGCTGAGACTGAAACAATATGAGATCCCATAATCATCGGGCCAGTCATCACAGGCAGAGTGTTGGAGACCTGGAAATGAGAAGAAAGTACCTCATTAATGGGTCCACTACCAGCAGACTCTCCACTAGGAGCTGAATTGTCACCTGGTGATCCATCACTGGTTTTTTTTATGAAAACAGTGTAAAGGGAAGAGCTCTCTGCAAACACCTTACTAAAGTTACATAATCATCCAAAAAGTGATAAGAGAGTTCTACTACTGCAAACCATTGCCATAGCCCAAGCTCCATAAGCCTGCAGTAGAAGTTAGACATGACTCCAAACCCTGGGTGAGTACAGCACAATTCCAGTAAATCACCCTGGAGTCTGAGGTGTGAATTCCAGCATCACCTTGGAATAATGCTGAATCTGCCCTTGGGGAAACCTCACTGTGAAAGGGCATGGCCTGCAGACACACATAGCAATGTGACAACCCCTGCTGCAGCTCTTCACTTGTTCTGCTTGTGGCACAAATGGCTCTGGCTGCCCAGACCCAGCTGCATGCACCAGCACAGCTCAGCTGGGCTCCTCAATCATTATGCTGTCCAAAGACTGTCAGCTGGGGAGACCCTCAGAGCAGCCCAGGACTATTGGTAACAAGAGATGGAATTTTTAAGTGGAATATTTGAAGGTGGGATGTGTTTTCCTGAGAAGTCTCAGCTGCAGCGGTGTTGGGATACACTCCTTGCAAACACTGATGCCAGCAACCACCACAATAATCCTGACAGATTTCCAAGTACACACAATCACTCAGGCTGTGTCATACCTCTTGCTGAAAGCACTGTCTGTGCTCCCAGTCCTCTTGGGGCTCATGGGAAGTCCTGTCCAGTCAGTTCCTTATCTACTGGAGGCCCTTGGATCTGTGCTCTGAAAGCTACTGGAGTCCAGTATAAACAATTACTGCAAGCCTCCAAGAGCCAAGCTTCTTGGCAATGCAGCTGAGCTTCCTCTTCCTAAGGAAGAGGCCTCTAAGGGCATATTTTCTTCTCTTCTCTTACCACTCCACCTCATGCCATGGAAACCACACTCCACAGAGCAACTGGAGGGTGACCATGGGAGAATCCACTTACTATGTGCTCTATTGGGTGAGCATAAATGGAGACCACACCGATGGGGGCTGTCCACTCGTGGTGCTTCTTGTGAATGTGCTTATAGAGCACTGGGTGGTGAACAAGCCTAGGCAGAGTAAACAGAAAGGCAGGTTTTGAGCTCTGCAAAAAAGGAGTAACAGAACACAGAATTTCTGCAGGGGACTTGCTTGTGTCTCCACTAACATGAAGATTTCAGAGCAGCTGGCAGTAAAAGTGTAGGATTCCTTGCTTCCTTTGCTCTCTTTGTATTGAGCCCTTATTCAGTTACTGTGTCCGCTGGCTTATGATAAACTCAGGCCAGAAAAATCGCATAAATCATAGTCCCTGAATTACTTAATTTATTCAAATCTGGGAGTACTATTACGGGAAGACTCACTTTATGCTTTCACAGTTTTGACTTTTTCTACTGGCAACTGTCAAAGAATCAGAATTTTCAGTTCCATGGGTCCTTTTTATCAAACGCCATTTCCATTTTTCAGGTGCATTTGTCCTAAAGGGAAACCTACAGATTTCTGAGAGTACTGTGCTTGCTTCTGCTTCTTTTGTCTTCCTTGCTTTTAGTTCTGTCCTCTAATGTTGGTGTCAGTGTTTGGAAATCCTGCAGTGTTGGAAGTCAGGCCCTAATTTGTAGGTGCTGTACAAGGGAACAGAGATCAGTCGCTGACCCTTGAGATTTTTGTGTTTCAGGATAGTCGGTCTTGTTCTTTTCAAAGAATGCTGGGTTACAACTTCTGTGGAAAACTGCCTGTTCTGTTTCTTCCTTAGCTTTTAAGCTGTTCCACCTTTAAAATTCTACCCATTTTTGTTTACTACAGTTACAGGCAGCACCAAGGCCTCATGTTGTGAGGTTGGATTTCAGGACCTGTAAGATTTCCCATATAAATACAAAACAGGTGGAACAGAGGGACGAGGATTATTGCTGTTGTAGGGTATGAGGAAAATCAAGCACCTGTTCCTGTGCTCAGCTCACCTGTGTGTATAGTAGAAGAGAATTTCCTCTAATACAGTAAAAATGCTTAGCTCCACAAGAAACCATTGGAAGGTTGGTAATTCCTTGCTGAAGGTGTTTTCCCACCATTGCATGATGTAGAACATGGGCACAAGCATGGGAAAGGAGACAAAGAACTGATTACCCAGCGCTGTGTAGATGGCTTTCCACAGTTTCTTTCTGTCCACCTGCAAAAGAGAAGTCAGGACTTGAGACTAAGAAAGAAACAATGCAGTTTTAGTTGGAAGGATGAAAAGCTTTAAGATTTGTAGGCAGTTAGTTTTGGGATCAGCTCTTTAACAAGCAGTCAGTGCAGATCTGATCAGTAGCCTCATAACAGGATCTGCCTTCCTCCCTACAGTGGGTGTACAAGACTTGACTTGATCCTCCTGGAATCCTATCTGGTTGCAAGAGAAAAGCATAACAGGTTCTTCTCCCCATTCCTGGCCTAAGAGACTGCAGGAAGTGTTTAGCCAGCAGAGAAGGCAGAGGGAGAAGTACTTACAGGATCATTCTTGCCCAGCTGAATGCGATAGCGAGTAATGAAAGTTGGCTTTCCTGTTATATCAGCCACCAGAAGGATTCCATTGAAGCCCCAGAAAGCAAGTGCAGGCACCAATGCAGCCCCTGTGGCATGAGGAAAGGGCAGAGATGTGTGAATGAATTGGGAGCTATGGCTAAATCAGAAACAAACTAACTGGCATAGTACCCAGAGGACCTTGCTGGGACCCAGATGTGCCAAGGGTGTGTCCCCTGACCCAGGATGCTTTGAAATGGAATACTGGTACATTCTGACATCCAGGTAAGGTCAAAGAATGGGAAGGAGGTTAGAGCAGTCAAATGTCTCAGAGATTGAAACTGGACATAACTGAAGCTAGGAAAAGGCTTTTCTAGGTGGCTGGGAGGCCTGTGTTGCTTTTAAATCCAAGTAGGATAAGGTTGACTTGATCTCTACCAGTTCTGTTCACCAGCTGCTAATCACAGAAAAGAGTTTTTGTAAGTACTACAGCAAGAGTAGAATTCACTAAACTTACTTATATTTTTAGTAATTAGTTCTACTGAGTCATTCAGTTCTCACAGGAGCACAGTGTCTTCACAGGGAAGCCACTTCAGTAGCAGGAAAAAGATCAGATTTTTAATCTGTACAGGGTCCTGTTGGTGACCCCATCCAAAAGCAGAACAACTGCACCACATCACCTGTGGGTACCTTCCAAGCCAGTGCTTGTCAGTGGGAGGATTAGTGAGTTTGGGAAGCTTGTCTGTGTCTCCCTTTTATATGTAATACATGGATGATTTCTCCTGAGAAGCACTGTTAAAACTCACCAACGAGGAAGATTGTCCACTCATCTCCCTCCATATGGTCGTAGAACTCCAACCATGCTGTTTGCCAGAAATTGCCTACAGTTATATTCTGCATAAACCTGTGGGAATAACAGTGGTTGGTTGCCCATCTATTCATCCACTTTCCCCCCTTTCCACAGCAAAGTTTCTCCTCAAGCTGCTTTGTTTGAACATTCTTACCAAGAAGCAGTGTTCACTAAGGCAGTGAACATGAGCAGGCCTGTACTGAAGACATAGGCAGTGATCCTCAAGGCATCCGAGAGCTTCTTTCCCTGTGAGGAGCAACAAGAGTAAGCACGTGCTGCTGTGTCTAGCCCTGGCATTTTTGGTATTTGAAATGATGAAGGCAGTCCTGTGATGGCCTGTTTTGCTTTACACACACACTCTGAAGAACACAATAACAAAGCTGTTGTGGGATATTGTGTATAATCATCCATCTGTCATGCTTACAGAGATCTGGTGCATGACTGATGTGGAATTTCTTTGGAATAACCAAAGGGAGAGAAAGGACCACTGATTTTTTTTCCCTCTTTATTTGGCATACTGCTCAGTACCTGGAGGGCCATAGCTCACTGGATAACTCAGGGCAGTGGGAAAGGAACACCAGCAATAAGGAATGGTGCTCCATCTCAGCACCTCCCTCCCTCAGCATTTTCTCCCTCCCAGGATGCAGTGTTTCCTCCCCACAGCAGTTAAGAACCACTGTGCTCAGATGACCTGGTTAACAGGAATAAGTATATTCAAAAAGCAGTCTTCAATATATTTGAATATTTAAATATTTGAAACAAAGTTGTTTACAGACAACAAATTTATAATTAACAATCTGTCTTTTAGAGTAGTCCAAGCTGGAATTGGTTCTGGAGTGCAATTAATTTGGTTTTAATGAGTGAATATGAATTATATCTATCTGCAATATAAACGTTTTTTTAAAAAATCAATGCAATAGTATAATAACCAGCTATTGTCTTCTTCATTCCTCTGTCCTTCCTGTTTTTTAACTGTGGTGTTGTGCTGCACAAACAGACTGGAGTGAAAACAGTGTGATTCATAGCTGCAGTCCTGCTCACCTCCTGTCAGAGAGGACAAACAAGAGAGGCAGCTCTGAGAAATGCCAAATGCAGGTGGTTTAGGGTAATGCAATAAAGGAATCCTCTTTACTTGGCTTTTAGATTCTCTTACAGCTACAGAACATTAAATGTGGCCCAGGACTTATAAGCAATTTTTATCTGTCCCAGGACAGAACTTTGCTTTAGCACTGAAACATTCACTACTAAAACAAACAACCAACCATTTTCTCCTATCACCTTTTTCTTTTTTTTTTTTTTTAATTTAAAAAGCAGATAGGGAGGAAGAAACTGACAGCAGGACTCTTGCCCTATAGTCTGATATTTGTGAACCCTATGGGTTGATATGAGAGCAGTGCAATCAGCTGCCACTGTTATCACTGGAGGTACTGAAGGGCAAATGCCAGGCTGGCAAAAGCCTCTCCTCCAGCATCAGATAGTGCCTGCTGGATCCTGGACCAGAAACTGCTCTCTTAGCAGTTTCATAATTCCAGGTGCATCCATGTTATGTCCCACGTATGCTGATGTAAGACTTTCTTAATCTTTAGATTAAGACCATCACTTACATATTCTTCAGGGGAAAAAAAAAAAGGTTACAGAAGTTATAGAAAGCTTTGAGCTTTTTAACAAACTCATATCCTAGAAATCCTTTTTCTCCTGGGATGATGAGCATACCAAACAAAATTCTGTCTTGTGTGTCAGAATTTCCAATTAGCTCAAATAAGGTTTCAGTTGCTTCAACATCCCTCAGCTCAAGAGTTTCAAACCTTTGTAACTCCTAATACTCACAGACACTGTGCATGTCCTGCTTTGAGACAGGACAGAGAGGAGCTAAAGCTCAGCACTTCAACTACTTTAACAGCCCTTTGGCTAGAAACTGTCTTGTTTTGAGGCTGTGTTTTTATTGCACATGATGAAGTGATTACATGAATCCCACACACTATAATTACATGAGATGTAGAAGTAGAGCAGTTTACATAGAAAACAAATTTTGTTCATCAAGTCCAAGTGCTTAATACCCTGTTTCTCCTCATGCCAACAGCTACAGCACTGTAGTTTCCAAACTAAATCATGGACTGCTTGAGTTCTTGCTCTTAAAGTGCTTGTAGAAGTTGGCAAATTCCTTAAGAACAGGGTTGCTGCTGGCAAGGTAAAGAGACTGGGGCACATCAGCTGGCCATAAGAGTTTAGAAGGACCAGGCCCAGTGAGGTGGCACAGCTTCTGGTTATGGGGGGCTGTGGTGGGTTCCTGCCACTCAAGCATAGATAACAGGTTAGATAACCCTACTGGCTGCTGTAGCTGCAGTCCAGTGGAAGGGAAAAATGCTGGGGAAGTGTTGCTTTAGTGATAAGAGATGAGCTCCTAATTATGCAAAAATGTTCGGAATGAGGATGTGTCTGTCACTTCTCTTAGAAGGTGATTCAACACATTCAGCGTTCCAAAGCACCTGCATGAGCTTCCTTAAAACGAGGAGCTTGAGCCTTTACCTGCTTCTGCAGCTCAGCTGTGGAGGAATATCCAGAGTCTGTTTCCATCTGAAATAAAAGGTGATCTAAGTAAGTGAACTTTGGCCAGCTGGAGAGTGGCAGAATATGATGCAAACAGCAAATCACCTCCACCTGCAGCTCAGTGCTAAAAGTGTAAAATATTTATTCTCTGTACCATGTCTTGTCCTGCTCTATCCTTCGTGTGTTGGCCATGGAGCAAAGCTGAGTTCTTGAGAAGAAAAATGCCCTTACATCTGGAGGAGTTAGTAGTGTCCCAGAAGATTAACAGGGATGCAAGAATAACAAGGAAAAATGGGAGAACAGCCAAAACCAAAGATTTTGCTTGTGTCACTGGTGTGTTGTGGTAAGACTTCCACCCTTGATCTGCCCCAGGAATACACTGCAGCACCCAGGAGCTACTCCAGCCCTTCCCAGGCTGTACGGAAATGATCATGTGGGACATATGTTCTTCCATAATGACAACATGCAATTAAACAACCAGGGATGAAAACAAAGTGAGTTTGGGCCACAGAGAGTTAACACAACGGAGCCCCACAGCCTTCACTCAAACTCTGAGTTACAGTTTAAGAACATGATAAGTAAGAAAATAATCTTTGCTTCAAGTCCTGCTGTGGTCACTTAGAGAGGTGAAGTCCTAAATGGGCATGTGGCCATCTCATAATGAATCTCCCTGCATTTGGCTCTGGCTTGACCATTTGTTGATGGCTTTGTTAAAAGAAATTAAAAAATAAATCAAACCAAATGTCTGAGTAGCTGCTGGGACTTCACTGCTGGCCATAGCCATGAAGGGTTCTGTATTTCAGGCCATGTTCTGGCTGTCCTAGGGATTATTGCATAGTGTTTTTATATTTCTGCAGTCTTATCATCAAATATAATTAGCAAAAGTTAACAAAACATTCCTTAATATTTTCTTAGTTTCACATGGTCTTTAAGAAGAAACACACAACTTCTAACAACACGACAGCCAGATTACTGAGGATTGCAGAACTTAATCCATTTTGCTTTTCCTACTCAGCAGAATATTCAAGCACAGGCAAACTATTACCTAAAGTACAAAGGTAAGCACAGAGAAGGTTCAAATGTTCTTGTCTAGGGTACAAACAGTTGAAAAATTACTCATTAGGAAGATGATATTCTATTACCTTGAAGATGGAGGGAAGCCTCTTGGGAGTACTCTTCTTGAAGCGTTGCAGAAAGGAGGAATAAACTGTAAAAAGAAATCCTGTATTAGTCAGAAGGTTTAGATTTGAAATTGTAGCCTTCTGGGTATGTTCTTACAAATACAACTCTGTTGATTTACAGGGGTTCCCAGCTCTGTTATATTACATATTAGTATGCAGGTCAAAGGGCATGAGACAGCAAAATTAGATACCTCCTTCCTGCTTACTCACAGACACAAAAGAGCAAGGCCAGCCCACCATACCCCACGCTTTAGTGGAAGAAACTGATGTTAGACAGTTCTGAGAAGGAAAAAAGAAAAATAAGGCAAAAAGGGATTTGAAACTTGAACCCCTGAGGCCAACTCCCAACCCTGTATTTCAGCACTAGGGCTGGATGTACTCCTACGGGAAATGGTAAGTTTTGGTAGCAGTCTTAAAAAGAAACCAAATCCAAGTACACTTTGTCTCCCTTGGCCAAAAATGGGAGCATGGGAGGTGCCCTAAGGTGCTGTTGCTTAAAATGAGAATGTATGGGGGAACCTGCAGTGACCCAGGGCTTCCTGCCCTTCCCCAGACACAGAGCTCCTCACTACTGCACCTTGTGAGCCACCACAGCCAGTCTGTGGGATTTTCTTTTCCTCTCGTATATTGTTTGCCAACCACATCTTTATTGATAAAATACAGTGGAATTCTAATATATCTGATGAAGAATACCCATAAGAAACAACCAAAAATAACCTGCTAGCCTGAAGAGAAGAGCATAAATAACATGCCACAGGCCAAATTTAAATTGATCTTAATTTTTAAAAGACCTTTTAATCACATATGTTACCTAACATCCACTACATGCCCATCTTGTCACACAGGTCCTCTCAGGGCAGGTGTGCCCACTGCCTCCAAGAAAACACTACTAAAGCTTGAAATATATCAGGCTTGAATAATCCATTCCTTTGAGGCTTTGCTCCATTCCAGCTTTCTTAACAGGTTGTTCAGAGCCTTGAACAGTTGAGTGTCTGCACAGAGGGAGATTTCACAGCTTCTCTGGGAAATCAGTTCCAGTATTTGACAACCTTCACTGTAAGTTTTTGCCACTTGGAATTTTTTTTGGTTATAACTCCTATTATGTGCTCTTAGGCTGTGCACATCCCTGACTTTACATCCACCCAGTAGGGAGCTGAAAAGACCAATATCCAATTATTCTGCTGGGACAGTAAAGTAAATAGTGCTGGCCATAGTTTTCTGTGGTTAAAGAGATTATTCTGCTCTGATGACTTTGTAGCAGCCAACATTAGATTAGGAGAGGCAGATGTGAAAGGGGAACCTCACTGAGCTGGAAGGCTGATGCTCCAGAGGTTCCTCCATCCAGCAGTGCTGACACCTTTGCATGTGAAGAGCTCCAGAGCAGAGCACTGCAGAAAATGTGACTCTGCTTTGAGTTTTTAGGAGAAGGAGCTACTACTTGACTGAGTCACATATTCTGTGCTTTTAGGAAAGAGTTAAAGTTACAACCACATTTCTAGTACTCTTTTAAAAATAATCAATTTATGATAGAAGGCTGGCTTGGGCAAAGATTTCCAGTTCAAAGCAGAGCTGCCACATCTGCTTACTCTCTGTTTCAGAACACTGCCTTTATTAAGCCACTTTTCAGGATAAAATTCTACATTATTTACATTAAACCCATAAAAATTTGGATAGAGTAGGTTTTCCCCAACATCTCATTACCTACTCTTTTTTTATTCTGTAATGTCTCTCCTGATTCAGAATACACCAAATACATTAAAAAACCATTTGTGTAACCATGGCTGTTTCAGCAAACAAAAAAAGCCATTCAGCTGCTTGGCACTGCTCTCGTGTTGGCATATTTTACAGCCCCAAATCAACCAGTGAAGCTCTCAGCTGCCTGCAGCTATTTCCAAATATCAGCTACAACTAGTACTGCCTAAAAAAAAAGTTCCTTTCCAGTTATTTCAAATTAGTTAACACAAAATTTGATCCAAAGCAAATTCTCAACCCTAGAATAAAAGTAATTGCTCTTCCAATCAGTCTCTTGACATTAAAGGGGAAAGACATTAGTCAAACAAGAATTCTAATACATTTTTTATATTACTATTTCCATGTATAACTTCATTTGCCCAAAAATTGTTAATTAAGTCACAGATCTTGCTTTCACTGAATTTTCCACTTCTGGTACTGAAAAAAAGCTAGTTTGTCTAAGACATGTTTTAAAATGCTCAGTATAATCTGAGCATAATCTGAAAAAAACCCTGCTGTATTTTTTTATATTTTTTTAAACATGCGAATTATTATTTATGCCCCATGCCTGCTGTTCTGTTATACTTCTGGTGCCCAACAGCCTCAAGCTGAGGCAGCACAGCTGCCCTTTCCCTGCACTGCATCCTTCTCCCACAGACCTGCATGGCAGGTGCAGCTCAGAACAGCTCCATCTGCTGTGAGGGACTGGCTGCCCACCCCAGCTCCTTGGGATTCCTCGTGCCTGCCTCCTGAAGCCTCTGGTGCAGGTCTTATTTCACTGAAATCAACCTTTATATGACACAGACAGTGGAAAACTGCCCCTGGGAGGAAAAAGGCTGTGACTATGTGTGACAGTACAGAACACAGAGAACAAAGAACACGACCACTTACCTGGTCACCTGAACAGTTGCATATCAGCCACTCTGTGTGGACAGACACAGGACCAGACGTGGTGTTGTTTGATGTCCTACCAAGCACTGCACGATTTTAGGGGAAACCCTGTTCCTAGAAAAGCTGACAATGGACTTCACACAGACACGACATTGCCTTTTAATGACTTCCTCAAAGTCTCTATCATATCTTTTCAAGCACCCTTGAACTCTGGCTGCCTGTTCTTTGCTCACCACCTGCTGATGGTAGCCTAGGAGAGGTCCTTGTGTCTATTCAGAGCCCAGAGTTCAACTCCTCACTTTTCACTACCGCTGTCGAAACTTTATGAGGTTTAGGCAAGGGCAATGGGGGTGTGTTTCTAAGCAGGAGCTGCCTGTCCCCTCCCAGACAAGTCATGTGAAGCCAGTGCCATGTCACTGTTAGTGCTGGCAGTGTTCCCCGTGTGTATGTGCATGCTGTTACTCAGTTAAGCACGTGGAATGCGTCTCTGCATCCCTGTAAGTTTTTCATCGTTGTACCTGAGAACAAAAAAGCCACCAACATGATAAAGGTAAGTAGTTTTTATAATTCACTAACTCATGGTTGGAGCACAAAATAGCTACTGCCAGTGCAACTGAATGGGTCAAAGGTGTATTTGTTAAAAGCAATAAGGGTTACTGTGGAATTTGGCAAAACAACAGCAGTTCAGTTTTCATGTTGTTGTACTAAGTCTAAAAATTACTCCAGCTCTGTTGCTACACAGTGCCCTCAACCAGTAACAGGCTTTGCTTGCATGGGAAAGGTGAAGACACACATGGGTTAGCATGTGCTTGGGCTCAGTTGTCTTTAAACATGATGTTTACAGACCATAAAGTGTGTAATTATGGTGTTGCAGAGAGCAAGATGTAATTTGCAGCAGCATTGATCTTTCTTATGCAAATGTGGCCCCAATCTGTTACTTAGCCCATAAACAGTGCCCTGTTATGAACTAAGCTCTGAGAACTGAGGGTGTTACTATCAGAACTTTCCAGATCTATTTTTCCACAGGAGGAAAAACAGGGAATACCACCTCTGCCTCACAGTTAGCCTTGTTTGCCCTTCACAGGTGAAGCAACACATGCTTTTTCTCAGTAACACCTTATGCCAGCAGAGCTGGAACTGCAGAGAGCTCTGCAACAGTGAACAGCCTTTAACACTGTGTTTCCATCCTCACTTTCTCCTGCCTAATTCCAACTATTCCCTGGTAGGGACAGAAGCTGTAATTCCGAACTGCAGAGAGCTCTGCAACAGTGAACAGCCTTTAACACTGTTAGTGTTTCCATCCTCACTTTCTCTTGCCTAATTCCAAGTATTCCCTGGTAGGGACAGAAGTTGTAATTCTTAGCTATTGCTACTAATTTGTATTTATCACACAGAGCAGGCTCAATAGAGAGGAATGTGATTCCTTCAAACTATTTACTCACGTGCAGAGGAGGAAGTGGAAATGAGCATCTCAAGAGAGGGGTGCCATAAGGATAATGTCCTCAGCTGATCTTTGGATTTGAGCTTGCAGGGGGAGGGCTGTTCATCCAACAGCCAATAGTAGGTGACAAGAGTGAATTTCAGTGTTCCTTTTGAACCACTGCTCAATTCCAACACGGTGATCTCTGAAATATTCATACCCATAGGGACAGCTCAGCACATTAGTCATAGGGTTGTAAATGCCGTTTATCTTCTGCTGCAATTTTGTGTCTAGCCCGGGTTGTCACTAATCAAACTGCTGCTTCTGCCTGCCCTGTGCTGGTGTCTCCACCACACACCCCAAAGCTGCTGCAATCTTTGCTGAGCCGTGCAAGAAGCCTGATTTCTTCTGAGCAAAAAAGCTTTTTGATCAGACACTTCATAATACAACTTTGTTCACTCCCCACAGTTTTTGTAATAGTCACTGGCTGTCTCGCTGTTTGAGAGGAACATCAGGGGGAAATCCATGAAGTATCTTTCAGGGGACTGGACAAGCCCATACTGATCATTCCTCTAAGGCTGGAGAGGAATCTGGACTTGGCACACATCAACCACTGCCTAATTAATTCCCTGCATTCTGAACCAGATTTCTCACCCTCTGCCAGGGCACGTGTGCCACCACCTAGCACTGCAGGGGCTGCTTTGGGAGCACCTGTGGAACAACAGAAGGGTGAGGAAAACACAAATTCACCTTTCAGGATTCCCACAAGTAAGTTTTCTTGTGGTGCTGTGAGTAAGCTCTAAAGAAAAGGCACAACAGGACGTGCAGCTCAAGCTGCCCAGTGTGAAAATGTTGAGCTGAATAGCTTTATTCTACCTTATAATGCAGCTCTACACTCTTGGGTAGATGTGAGGACTCCTCAAGACTTTCTTTGGAGTGCTGGAGCTGGAGGCAACCTTGGTAACCTCCAAATACAGAAATGATGGGACTCTTTAAAGAGCAGGGTGCCTCTCCCAGCTATTCTGAATCTTTATTTATTAGCCATGTCATGTTTGAAAAAATTCTGATCTCATCAAGCAAATGTGTCTCCAGCTCTTCCCACCAGTGCTTGCAAACATCCTTGAATGGCTTTTTTTTTTAACAGACAGATTTTTACACAATACAAATGTAATTTATCACAGGTGATTATTGCCTGCAACACATTTTTATTGCAGTACCAAGGCACAGATATTTACAGTGGCCTGAGGAGATGCATCTTCCTTTTTCCCCTGGATTCAACATCCCTTCAAGCCCGGGTTTACGAGCAAGAAAAATGACTCTGAACTCTTCTGGGAAATAAAAATTTCACCTTATATTTACAGGGTGCTGTAATCCAGCCTGCTGAATTTACCTGCTAACAACACAGATTTCCTTGTAGAAAACCCCAGACTCAAATGACCACAGGAAGAAAGGTGATTACTTTCAGTGTAGCATATTGTATGTTGCATAAATTGCACAACACCAGAGACTGCAGAGCCAAGGCAAAACAGTAACCCTGCATCATCCCTGAAGATAAACTCTGAATCAAAATAATGCTCAATAAAGGGAATGTACCAAGATGCTGACAGCAGCAAGGTCACTTAACACAGCAACACTTGAAAAACCCTCTTCTTTTCTAAAGGCAACATTTCTGCTGAGGAATGAACATTAAACCTGAGACACTGAATGGTGTGTGACGTGTAAAAGATATCAATATCTGCTTTTCCAGATACTTTGATCAAAATGCTGGGCAAGTAGCCGAGATTCAGGGAAAGACTCCCATATGGTGGGCAGATAATCCAGTACCAGAACATATATATTTATAGAAGCATATACATATTTTACAGTAGAAACCTCGTCCAGAAAGGAAGGCAGTCTAAAAGGAAAGAAATACTATCTAAATTTAATTAGTAGATGAGCTTCCAAATGAATTGCCTATCTGCCATCAGCATCAGCCAGCAAAGCAAGTGTTGGCAGCCGTGTTACACAAGCAGTAGCTGCCTTACCAGCTACAACCTTCTGTTGCTAACGTAACTTCAATTCCATTCCTGCAACAGGAGAAGCCAGACTAAAAGTCTGCAGGTGTAGTAGGAACTTAAATGACTTCTATGCCCCTGCAGGATGAAGCAGAACTTGCTCCATTAATGAGCTTGATACGCACTACACCATAGGAGCAAGGCGTGCCAGGCCAGCAGCGTTTGCTCTCTGGGCTTTAGGGAATCCCCCTTGGAAACCGAACCCTCATCCCGCTCCCACCCTGCGCGCCCCTGGCCTGGGAGCCCGGGGGGGCTCGGGCCTAACCCCGACCCGGGGACCCCCTCACCTCCCCTAGGTGAGGGAGGGGCGGCCGCTGCTTCTTTCGGGGACGCTCAGCCAGGGCCCGGCGCAGCCCGTGTCCTAAGGGATGGGGGTGCTGGGGGCTCCCCATGCTGGAAGCCCATCCCAGCCCCGGTGGGTGTTATGGCGACGCTTCCCTCAAGGCGCAGAGGCACCCTCCCTCATCCCTGCCTCCCCCCCTCCCACGGAGTTTGGACTCGCCCACTGTTCGGAGCGCGGGGAGCCCGGGCGAGCCCATTAGCTGCACTGCGGGGGGGAAGGCAGGAGGAGGAGAGACGCGAGCCGGCATGGGCTGGGCGCATGCGCAGTGCGGGCACCGCGGCCGCGCGCAGTAACGTACCCGCCCTCTCCCCCCCCCCTCCCCGCCCCTCCGCGCGCGCCGCCGGGGCTCCGCCATCTCTCGCTCTCTCTCGCGAGAGGCAAAGCGGCGCGAGACCCGGAAGCGCCGCCCCTCGCGGCGGGGGGCACTCGGAGCCGTCGCGGTTGCGCGGGGCGAGAGCGGCGCGTCCCGGCCGCGGCTGCCGGGAGGTACCGGGGAGCGGGACGGGCGGGCAGCGGCGGGACCGGCTCTGCGGGTGCAGGGCTGCGGCTGGGGGTTGAGGGGGCGGCGGCGCGGACGGCGGCCCTCCCGCTTCCCGGCCGCGGTGAGCCGTGTCCGGCCGCCCCCGGGCTGTGAGGGGGGCCCTGAGGTGACCCCGGGCCGGGCCGGGCCGTGGCGGAGCGCTCGTCCCTCCGGTAACTGGTGGCGCAGGGCCCGGCCGGGCGGAGCCGGAGCCCTCGCTCTGGGAGCGGTTCGCCGGTGTTATTGCGGGAAAGGGGCAGCAGCCGGTGGCTCCGGCTGAAACAGCGCTGCAGTGTGGCCCCGGTTACATCAGAGCAGGGTAGAACCCAGGGTGGGTTAGAGGCACCGCTGTGGGTCACTGGTCCAGCCTCCCTGCTCAAGGAGAACACTACAGGATTGAGCCCAGACTGTTCTGGAGTGTCCCCATTGAGGCAGACTCCAAAACCTCTCTGGGCAACCTGTTCCCGTGCCTGGTCCCTGCACAGTTTCTGCTCACGTTCTTTCTCACGTTCAGGAGAAGCTTCCCGTGCATCAGTTTCTGCCCGTTGTTTCTTGTCCCGTCGATTGGCATCACCAAGATGAGCCTGGCTCCATCTTCTTGGCGCCCTCCTTGAGATATTCATACCCACTGAACCTCGTGCCAATGAGTGTTCTCTCTAATGCATTCTGTTGTTGTGTTTAAACAATTGTCTTCATCACAGAATCACAGAGGGGTTTGGATTGGAGAGGACCTTCAAGATCATCTCATTCCACCCCCCTGCTGTGGGCAGGGATGCCTTCCACGAGACCAGGTTGCTCAGAGCTCCATCCAGCCTGGCCCTGAACACTTCCAGACATGGGGAAATAGTTGAGGGTTACACATGAGGATTCACTGCCTGCACATCTTGTGCCCAAAGTGTCAAAGCTTATGCCAGGAAAAGGAAGACAGGGATAACGATTCTTTACATAAATAACTGGACTGTTGATTGTGCAGATGCTCTTGATTTCATTCAGCATGTTTACAGAAAGTGATAAAGAAAACTTGGTCTAAACTTTGAATGGGTTATTTGAAGGTGGAAAAGGAAGTGTGACTGACTCCTACAGAGCATTTATTCACATGTCACTCTTCCTTCACTTAAAGCATTATTTATTTATCTCTTTAATGCAGCACACTGATAAGATTGCACAGCTTGTGATCCTGCACTGTCATTTGAGTTCAGCATCAGCTGCCTTTTTTCTGGTCCCTGCAAGATGCCAGCAGCCCTTGCAGAGAACAGCCAGGTTATCTGTGAAGTATGGGCCAACAACCTGGAGGAAGAGATGAGGAAAATTCGGG